CATGTTACTCCAAAGTTACTGCTAAATGAGAAAATATGAAAATTCGAAAACTCATGCAATGGGTTTAAAAAGCAAATGCCCAAACAAAAAAACAATCCAGGATCCTGATTACCTGGAAGCCAATGGTCTGCAGTTCACTGTGGAGCCCATCCAGGACACGCCGTCCATCAAAGATGAAGGCCGGCTTCAGCATTTTTTTATGAATGCGTTCATAATCCAATTCCTGTAAAGACATGCCAAAGGAACAATCAGAATATATACATGAATCCCTTATTTGACCCCAACTGATACTAGAAAACCTCTAGAATTGTCCTTAATACCATTTCAGTCACCTCACCTTAAACATGTCCCACTCGGTGCAAATGACAACAGCATGGGCCCCGTCACACGCTTCATATGGATCCTTGGAAATGGTCACGAGTCGGGACACTGTAACAGCAGCAACAACAAAAAAGGGGAAATAAAAAAGGAGTTGTTGGAAATTACAGTTAGCCCCTTCTCCACAGGGGATACATTCCAAGACCTCCAGTGGATGTCTGAAACCATGAATAGTACTGAGCCCTGTGTATGTGGACTGTGTTTTTTGGATCTGATAACCAAAACTGCTACTGACTATAACTAACAGGCAAGTAGCATCCAGTGTGGATATGCCAGCAAATGGATGATTCATGTCTCTGGCCGGATGAAGCCAGGATGAAGCCAGATGAAGCCAGGCAAGTTCATCGCCCTACTCAGAACAGCATACAATTTACAACTTATTTCTGTAATTTTCCATTTAATATTTCTACACTGAGATTGGCATTGAGTAACTGAAACTGCAGAAAGCAAAACCACAGATAAGGAGAGAAGTGTTGTGTGTACTTTAAAACTAGGATTGTAGGTGAGGTTGGGCATCTGACAGAAGTGGAACAGTCTGACTTTAGTATGAATGGGGATGACAGGAGATCTGAAGCACCACGAAACCCTACCCTTGAATCATCTTTTTGGAACCTCTGGGGCTTTGTGGATATGTTGGAAAAAATCATTGAACTAACAATCGATTACTTCAAATCAAAGTTGATGGGATAATGCCTAAGAGTTTAATTTTAGAGAAACAAGGTTAAAAAGCGGGTATATTAATGATATAAATGATAAAACTGAACAGCCAAAGGTTTTTCATATTTTCAAAGTGATTCATGAGACTCAAAGCCTTACCTTGATCATCCTCTGAAACACCTGGATGAGATAGATCCACAACTATTTGTTCCCTGGGCACTTTTGGGTCATATATATGGAGGTGTGCACCTTCATCCAACAAATACTTGCTAATATATATACTAGAAGATTCTCTGAAGAAAAAAAAATCAGTATTGCTAAGCTTTAAAAATGGCAGTATACACTAATAACCAGGGAGTTTAAGATACAAGTAAGGTTCTACTTCTTAAGCAGGCTGAGTAGTGAAGACACAGATGTTTATTTTTATTCTTTAACCTACTTATACAGAGGGGTCCAAAAAAATGTATACACATTTTCAAAAAGAAAATCTGTATTAAAATTGTACTAATGTATACAAATAACAAAAGATGAATACAAGTCAAGTTTAACTTTTTTCTTTTTTTTTTACAGTAAAGAGATGTGAGACATAGAATAGAATTAAAAGTGGGAGCTCAGGTGTCCATTGCCTATTTGTGTGCTTCTGGCAATGACCTTCTATTTTTTTTTTGCAGAGACAGAGTCTCACTTTATTGCCCTCAGTAGAGTGCCATGGCATCACACAGCTCACAGCAACCTTCAACTCCTGGGCTTAAGCGACTCTCTCGCCTCAGCCTCCCGAGTAGCTGGGACTACAGGCACTCGCCATAGGCCCGGCTATTTTTTTGTTGCAGTTTAGCTGGGGCCGGGTTTGAACCCCCCACCCTTGGTATCTGGGGTTGGCACCCTACCCAGTGAGCCACAGGCGCCACTCCCTTTCTTTTTGCAGTTTTTGGCCAGGGCCAGGTTTGAACCTGCCACCTCCAGTATATGAGGCAGGTGCCCTACTCCTTAAGTCACAGGCGCCGCCCACTTTTTTTTTTTTCCTCAGACAGAGCCTTAAGTTGGGCAGAGTGCCATGGCGTCATAGCTCACAACAACCTCAAAGTCTTGGGCTCAAGTGATCCTCTTGCCTAAGTCTCCCAAGTAGCTGAGACTACAGGCGCCCGCTACAATGCCCAGCTATTTTTAGATTGGGTCTTGTTCTTGCTCAGGTTGGTCTTGAACCCGTGAGCTCAGGCAATCCATCCCCCTTGGCCTCCCAGAGTGTTGGGATTACAGGCATGAGCCACTGTGCCTGGCCTAAAGTTTGACTTCTATAATTATAAGAGGTGCTCGGCTTGGTACCCATAGCTCAGTGGTTAGGGTGCTAGTCACATACACTGAGACTGATGGGTTTGAATCCAGCCCAGGCCAGCTAAACAACAATGACAACTGCAACCAAAAAGCCAGGTGTTGTAGCAGGCGCCTATAGTCCCAGCTACTTGTGAAGCTGAAGCAAGAGAATCGCGTAAGCCCAAGAGTTTGAGGTTGCTGTGAACTATGTCACAGCACTCTACCAAGGGCGACATAGTGAGACACTGTCTCTAAAAAAAAAAAAAAAAAAAATACAAGAGGTGCTCAAAGTGGTTACCATCAGCACACTGGTAGACTCTGTGGCAAGCTGTTCCTGTTCCAAAACCATAGTAGAAGCAGGACTTGGTGCTGCATGCGTGAGGCCTCCCAGGTCTTCCCTGGTGCACAGAGTCGCACATGTCCCAACTTATCATGAAAATGTGCAATTGGTGGGCATGTTGGAAGTGCCGTTGCAGACTTGTGCCGCCACTGTCATTCTACTTCCACAGCATTCTCCAGTCTCAGATACTTCAAAATGGTCTCGCACTCCTCAAATGACAACTATGCTTCTGCCATTTTCTTGGTCCTGCGTTCATTTGATTAATGCCATCTTTTGAGGGAATGTCCTACTACACATTGCTACAATAATTCAAATTTAACTTTGAAATAAAACACAGATGACATCACTTTAAATGTGCATACATTTTTTTTGGCACCCCGGATATATACACATATATGTTGTTCATACATCTACCACTCAAAACCCAGGATAAGATGAGGAATAAACACACTCTCAAAGGGGTTGAAATATTTTAAAGAATTGATACCTTGTATCACCGGTGTCCTTTTTGAATGCAAACCCCAAAATAGCTATCTTCTTATCAGTCACTGTATTAAACAGGCTGTCTATGATTCGGGAAGCAAACCTCCTCCTCTGGTAGTCATTCATGTCTATAACCTAAAATGACAGGTACAGTTGTGCAATGATTAGTTAAAAGAGGTACAGCTGGCTCAGCACCAGCCACATACACCTGAGCTGGCGGGTTCGAATCCAGCCTGGGCCCGCCAAACAACAATGACAGCTGCAACCAAAAAATAGCCAGGCATTGTGGCAGGTGCCTATAGTCCCAGCTACTTGGGAGGCAGAGGCAGGAGAATCGCTTGAGCCCAGGAGTTGGAGGTTGCTGTGAGCTGTAATGCCACAGCACTCTACCCAGAACGACAGCTTGAGGCTTTGTCTCAAAAAAAAAAAAAAAAAAAAAAGAGTTCCAGCCTATGACATGTATTACTCAGAGTTTTATGGTGCTATTATATTAATACAAGGCTTACATATTAACAGGAGGCACAGATTAAACAAACTCAATGGTCTTCCAATTTAAAAATAAAAAGAACCACTTATCCTCTTCCTTGAAACCATCCTGAGAATTTTTATTTTCCAGGCCAAGCGTGGCATCTCACACCTGTAATCCTAGCACTCTGGGAAGCCAAGGCAGGTGGACTGCTTAAACTCAGGAGTTTGAGACCAGCCTGAGCAAGAGCAGACCCAATCTCTACTAAAAATAGGAAAAAACTGAGGCAAAAGGATCACTTGAGCCCAAGAGTTTGAGGTTTCTGTGAGCTATGATGATGCCATGGCACTCTACCAAGGCAACAGAATAAGACTCTGTCTCAAAAAATATATAATAATTAAAAACTTTTTTTTCATTTGGCTTGATTTTCTATGCATCAGGCTGGGATGGATTCAAAAAATGAGGAACAAAACTCTAAGAGCATTTGAAGACCAGCTAAATAAGCCAAATAAAAAATAGTATTTTCCTCAGCCAACTTCTCTAACCCCTATGGAAGCAAGTCTGTAAGCAATCAAACCCCAAAGTAGTACTCCTTCATATGCTTATACCCCACATTCTCCAAAACTCAGGTTAAGTAGAATGTGGACAGGCGACAGGCAAAATGCAGAGTTATAGCTGTCTCTGGATGAACCATAACATCACAAATGTTATGAAAGCCTCTGATGATATAGTTTGTTAAATTTAGGTTGGTAACCAGGAAACATAAAAAATAGACTTTTTAAAAAGGTTCTAAACTTGTAGGGGCCATCTCAAACCTTGAGAGCTTGAAAAATAAGCGCAAAGTTTTAGAGAATCAAGGCTTCATCTGCATTTCTCACATAATGAACAGTAAGATAAAGACATCATGCTGGATGACTGAAATGACATTAAGTGTATGTTTTCTGTAAAAAACGTTCATTTCCTTAGATTCCCTACCAAATTAAAAACTCAGAAGCCCAAATATTAAACCTATTTTTTCTGTTGTGAAAAAATATTTGGGAAAGGCACACATATACTGCCCAGTGCCCTGGACAAGTTACTTAACATCTCTAAGTATCAGTTCCCTCTCTAAAAGTGGGGATAGGACGGCGCCTATGGCTCAAAAGGGTAGGGCGCCAGCCCCATATGCAGGAGTGGCAGGTTCAAACCCAGCCTCGGCCAAAAAAAATAAAATAAAAGTGAGGATAATGTTTGTCATGAGGGCTAAATGAGATACTACATGCAAAGTTCCCCCAAAAGTACCCAGTACAGGTATGCATTCAATAAACATTAACTTTATTTCCTAGAGCTCATTGTTACTTCCAATTTGGAAAGGGTTTCTAATTTTAGGTCTATGAATCTGAAAGGGATAAAACAAATACATAAAGGCTCGGCGCCCTGGGCACAGTAATTATGGTGCCGGCCACATGCACTGGGGCTGGCAAGTTCGAACCTGGCCCCGGCCAGCTAAACAACGACAACTGCAACAAGAAAATAGCCAGGCGTTGTGGTAGCCACCTATAGTCCCAGCTAGTTGGGAGGCTAAGGCAAGAGAATCGCTCAAGCCCAAGGGTTTGAGGTTGCTGTGAGCTGTGATCCCAAGACACTCTACCAAGGGTGACATAATGAGACTTTGTCTCAAAAAATATATATATACACATATAAAAACGCAAACCACTTGCAAGTATTATAATATAGGTTCCTCCCTTATAAAGATTTTATGCCGGCTCAGCGCCTATAGCTCAACCGGCTAAGGCGCCAGCCACGTACACCTAAGGTGGCGGGTT